GACGATCGATGTGGCGCAAGACCACTTTTCCACGGCGCACCGCACGTTTACGCTGCTCGATGCGCCCGGACATCGCGACTTTATTCCCAACATGATCTCGGGCGCAGCGCAGGCGGATTCGGCACTGCTCGTCGTCGACTCGATCCTCGGCGCCTTTGAGGCCGGATTCGGCCCCAACGGCCAGATGCGCGAGCATGCGCTGCTGGTGCGCAGCTTGGGCGTGCAGCAGCTCGTCGTCGTCGTCAACAAGCTCGACGCGGTCGGATACAGCCAGGAGCGCTACGACGAGATCGTGACCAAGGTCAGACCGTTCCTCACCTCGTGTGGATTCGATGCGGCCAAGCTGCGGTTCGTGCCGTGTGGCGGATCGGTGGGCGAGAACTTGGCGGTGAGGGAGGAAGGCGGCGATCTGTCAAAGTGGTACGATGGACCGACACTCGTCGAGGTGCTGGACAAGCTCGAGCCGCCGGCGCGGCTGCTGGATGGACCGCTGCGCCTGCCCGTGACCAACGTGTTCAAAGGCCAGACGGCGATTGCGTCGGGCGTGGGCGTGTCGGGCCGAGTGATTTCGGGAATCGTTCAGATCGGCGACCGACTGCGACCTGTGCCCGGCGACGAGTCGGGTATGGTGCGTGCGATCGAAGTCGACTCCGAGGCGGTACCCTGGGCGGTGGCGGGAGCCAATGCGACCGTATACCTCAGTGGCATTGACCAGATCCAGATCGCGGTTGGTGCGGTGCTGTGCTCGCCGTCGCAGCCGATTGCGCTGTGCGACTCTTTCATGGCGCAGGTGCTGGTGTTTGAGCCCACGTACCCGCTCGTGGCGGGCACGAGCATCGAGCTCTTCCACCACAGCGCCAACATCCCCGCGACCCTCACCGAGCTCGTAGCCATCCTGGACAAGACGACGGGCGCAGTCGCCAAGGCCAAGCCGCGTGTGCTCACCAAGGGCTCCACGGCCATTGTGCGCGTGGCGGTCAAGGCGGGCGGAGCAGCGGGCCAGAGCAGCGGCATCCCCATCGAAGATGCCAAGAGCAACAAGGAGATGGCGCGCGTGCTCATGCGCATGAACGGCGAAACTGTCGCTGCGGGCATTGTCATGGAAACACACTCTGCCACCTAGCTCACACGTGCAGATTTGGGAACAGGATGAACAAAATCAATGCAATCAAGTGTGCAGCTACCATTCGAGCGCCTTTGCGACTGCGGCAGCATCATGCGCATCAGCGTCCGGTTCGGTCTTGACTGCAACGGTGAGGTCGGCGATGTGCATGGGCGTCGAGTTGTCGATTTCGATCTTGACTGCCGGATGCTCTTCCTGTTTGAAGGGCGAGATGAGTGGGGCCGGGTGGATTTCGCCGTCTGCTAGTAGGGTGACTTTGACGCGCTTTTCGGCCGCCTTTGGGTCGATGGGACGGTAGCTCGGGCAAAGACCTGCGCTGCCTACGTTGCACAAGTCGCAGCGAGGGCCTGTAGGGACGCAGATGACCTGGCCGAATCCGACGAGAAGCCGATTGATGTGCGGGTGCAGCTCACGCGGCAACCACGACTGCAGATTCAAGCGCGTCTGTTCGGGCGTCTTTGTATCATGCCACCCGAGCCGGTTGGTCATGCGATGCACGTGCGTGTCGACTCCAATCCCCACCTGAATGCCCATCGAACTGAGCGCCAAAAAGGCCATCTTTGGGCCCACGCCGGGCAGACTGCACAGCTCATCGACGGTGCGGGGTACGTCACCGTCAAAGTCGGCAGCAAGGATGCGCGCTGCGGATTTGAGGTAGCCGGTCTTGCGACGCCAGAAGCCGACTTTGGCGATGCAGCTCGAGATGGCGTCGTCGTCGGCGTCGAGTAGCGACTGCAGACACAGGCCGTTGGGCAGGTTGCGCTGGAGGTTGTACACGGCTTCGGCGGTGACAGGGTCCTTGGTCTGAGACGAGAGCATGAGCGAGACGAGCGTCGCGAGGCGTTCGCGCTTGGCGGCATCTTCGGACGACTCGCCCTCGCGCCACGAGTCGGCACGCCGATCTTCGCGGCCGTTCTCCTCGCAGCCCATGGTGTCAACGGGTGCAACGATGCGCGCGCGCTGCTTGGTCAGCAGCTCGTACACCTTCTCCCAGTGAGCTGGCGCAGGATGCGCCTCGTGCGGCTCGAGGTCGACCTTGAGAGGCTTCTTGGTGGCCTTGCGCGGAGACACGTCGAATGGCGATACAGCCGCTTTCTTCGGCTTGGACGGTGACGCCGACTTGGACATGGAACGCGAAAGGGGCTTAGACTCGGTCTCTTCTTTGACCGCAGACTTGGACGAGGCTTTGGCTACGCGCTTGGCCTTTGGCGTGGACTTGGTGGTCTTCTGGTCGGTGAAGACATCGCTGTCGTGGTCCGAGGAGTGTGCGCCATCGTCTGAGAAGTCGGAGCCGGAGGCATAGTCCTCCGACTCACTGGAGGGCGACTGGGCTCGCGACCGTTTTGCAGACGTGCGCATGGATCGCGTCTGCTGCGGCGCCTTTGCAGAAGAGGAAGGCGATGCTTTTGGGGTGGACGGAGAAGCAAGGGGAGCTGCGCTGCGGCGACGGAGTGAGTAGGAGCGGCGAGACTCCTCGACCGCGAGCGCTGTAGCCATCGCCGCGTCCTCTTCGACCGAAGCACCACCTGTGACTTGGGCGACCGAGTGGCCATTGGCCGTGACAACAGTAGCGGAAGGGGCAGCGACAGCCACGGACGCTCCCGGAACAAGTGGGCTAGGCGCAAAGAGCTTGCGCCGAGACGACGCCCTGGTGGCTGACATGAAGGCCGAGGCAACTCCACCGAGGCGTGGGCTGAGACGGTGAATGGTGGCGATGGTCAGACGAGTTGCGGCTCCTTCGAGTCGGGTTCGAGCTGGTATGGTCGAGTGAGAAGAAGTGACGATGTGGGGTAGAGGATGTTCAGACCGCATTTCCGCCACCGGGCCAAGCGAAATGCATCTTCCAAGGGTTCACACGCCGGCCACCAAACCGGCATTTCTAATCGTGCAGCTGGGCCGCAGGCCGAAAAAAAAAGGAAAGGTCCAGATGTCTGGTAACCTCGCGACGAGCTCCTCAGCCACGGATTTTGAGCTGGGCCCAACGCAATCTGATTTGATCTGCAGACACCCTTGTCATTGCTCCATTGGCATTCGAAACTCTAGCCACAATTGCTTCTGAATGCTACTTCTGACCAAGACGGGCGAGGTAGGCCTCCCAACCCGCCTTCTTGTACCGCGAACCCTGTTGCCTGACCTTGTCGAACGCCGCCTTCTTGTCGGCCTTGCCCTCTTCGGTCATGAGAGCGCCGTAGATACCCCTACCGACGATGATGACGTCGCAGCCGCTTTCACGGATGACCTGGTCGGGCGTGCGGTACTGTTGGCCCATGGCATCGCCCTTGACGTCGAGGCCGACGCCCGGTGTGAGGATGAGCAGGTCGCGCTCCGTGTTGGGGCCCTCGCGCTCGTCGACGCGCGACATGGCGATGAAGCCACAGACAAAGCCGGTGGTGTCCTTCTTGGCCTCGTCGACACACGCCTGCGTGTAGGAACCCTTGGTGAGCGCGCCTGCCGAGCTCATCTCGGCGAGCAGCAGAAGGCCGCGTCCGAGCGGTTGGCCCACCTTGGCGAGACCGCTGATGACGCCCGGTCCAGGCACCAGATGCGCGTTGGTGATGTGCGACCACGACGCAATCTTGTGCACGCCCGACGAGTACTGCAGGCTTGCCGTGTTGCCTGTAGATGCAAATGCGCCAGGGTAAGCTCGTGTCAGCGGGGTGCACAGGCACTTCGAGTGGACGATCGCATGGACTTACCAATGTCGGCAAACTTGCGGTCCTCGAAGATGAGAAAGTCGTGCTTCTGGCTGAGCGCGGTGAGCTGCTGGACGAGGTCGATGTCAAAATCCTCGACAATGTCGATGTGCGTCTTGACCAGGCACACGTCTGGGCCGACGGCATCGCACACGTCGAGCAGGTCCTGCTTGTTGGTCACGTCGACCGAGACGCACAGGTTGGACTGCTTGCGCTCGATGCACTCGAGCAGCGCCTTGGCGGCGGCGTTGGGCTGCTTGGCCGCGCGTGATGCGTACGTCTGGAGGGTGATGCTCGACATGTCGCCGCAGAAACGTTGATGAGGAGGGCCGATAGCTATGATCGACAAAGGCAGTCAAGATGCTTCGGCGCCCCGCGTGCGAATGTCATGCAAAGGCAAAGCATAGCGAGCGGGGCCAAATTCGCGTCCTGCCAAAGATTTCTTATCGCACGATAAAATTCCAGCTTCGTCGGGCGCTCACGTGAACCGGAAGAAATGGGCTCAGAGGCGCAGGAAGAAAAAAAGGGCAAAGCCGCGCGCACAAGATCGGCTGCCAGGCCGATTAGCAATTGGATCAGCTTGGAGAGCTGCAGCTGCAGCCAGTGCCTTCCACCAGACTTTGAGTCCGTCTACACCATCACCACCTCACCCTATTACCCACAGCTTTCGTTTAGCGGCTCACGTGTGGAAGCCGCCCTGTATTCGCCGCCATGGCCGCCAACACCGCCACTACGGCGCCTACGCAGTTTTCCAAGCTGCTCCGCCAGGCGCGCATCTCGAGCTTCGACCCGGCCGTGCCGCAGGTGTACACGGCGCCACCTGCCTATGCTGCTCGCGGCGAGTGGGGCATGAAGAGGCCGCTGCCGTCGTCTTCTGCCTCGATCTTTGGCTCCTCGTCCGGCTCGGCTGCGTATCCGGGCGCGCTGCGCTACGTCGAGGTGTCGCAGCTCGACACCGCTGAAGGCCAGACCTCGTGGAAGGAGCGCGAGAAGGAGGTGCTCTTTGTCAAGCGCTGGGCCGAGGCGGATACCAAGCTGCACATCAAGAAACCCGAATCCAACGGCCACACCTACACCGAGCCGGGCAGCCACGGCCCGCGCCCCGCCACGTCGTTCCTCAAATCCACCGAGCGCTACTTTCCTTCCGAGATTCCGGGCCCGATCGAGCTCACGCCCGAGCAGGAGGCGAGCGAGGATGCCAAGGAGCGCGAGGCGAGGCTGTACAACAACCGCTGGCGCAGCCTCATGAAGCACCATGCCGCGCGCGGTGCGGCGGACCCAGCCTACAAGGGGCTCGACTTTATGGGCGAGCAGTCGACGTCGCGCGCCTACGGCTTTGATGCCGACAAGTTCTCGACGCGCCCGCGCATGATGGCCAACTACAACGCGCTCACCGATGCGCAATTTGACAAGTTTGTCGCCAAGATCCGCCACGAGCGCGGGGCGTGGAAGAAGTTCTTCAACGACAAGGAGCGCGGTCGGCTGCTGGGGCTCATTCGAAAGCGCCAGGAGAAGGAGTACGCCGCCGCGCTGCGTGCGCGCGAGGATGCCGAGCGACGCGGCGCCACGAAGGAGCCGCTGCCCGAGATCAACCCGGAGGCCGAGCTGGAGCAGATGACGCTCGCCGAGATCGACATGCTGGAGCAGTCGCGCGATGTGGATGCGACGCGCGATGCCTTCCGCATGCTCGAGGACAAGACGCTGCGCGAGGCGTCCAAGCAGTCGTCCGCCGCGCTTCCCGGTCTTTCGCAGCCGAACACGCTTCACCCGCATGCAGGTCTGCAGTATTCGCAGCCCGATGCCATCTACACGGCCATGCTCGCCGAGCCGCTGCCCGGTCGCGTGATCCACGAGGTGAGCTCCAAGAGCGACCGCGATCTGCGCAAGTACGCCAAGGTCGCCGATGGACGTTCGGTGCTGGTGGGTGGACGTGTGAGCTATCTGCACGCACCGCTGCGTGCGCAGGCGCCGCCGACGATCGACTGGAGCCGACAGGAGCCCAAGCAGGGCACGGCGCTGTTCCGCATCGTCGACGCCTACCGCTCCTCGAGCCTGACGCTCGGCAGTGGAATGCACCGCGACATGCTCTCGCCCCGCAACGACCTCGGATACCTTCGTTCGAACGTCGAGCTCGTCAAGACCGATGCAAGCGGTCAGCCCGTCAACCGGGTCGCGCCCATGGGTAGCGCCGAGTACGTCGGTCAGACCGCACAGGATCCCAACAAGCCAGTGCGCAAGGCTCTCGGCAGCGTGGGCGAGCCGAGGAAACCCGCTGGCTTCGCAGCGCTCAACGGCCTCGCGGATCGCCGCAAGAACGATGCCCAGAAACAGAGGCGTCTCGGCCGCAATCCCTCCGCCCAGGCCAAGGCCGAGCAAAAGGATTCGGTGGATGCAACAAAGAAGATGCTCGACAACCTCGACGGCCTCATCAACCCATCCACCCGCTCCTGATCCTTCCGCTAGAAAAGTTGTAAATCTCACCATCATCCCACCTTCAAACACAAGTGACCCACAATTACTTTGGCAGCGTTTGTGCCGCGCGGACGTCCCGAAGCCGTTGAATCAGCCGCACAGACGAGGAACGTGAGAGTGGCAGGAGAGCGGTTGCAAGCCGCCACTGAAAAAAAGAAAGTACCATTTGACGAAAAGATGCAAGGGATCGCTGACGATCGCAGAAGACAAGACGATAAGATTCGGCACGACGCCGGAAAGATCGGACCAGGTCCGATGCGCGTGCGTTTTTTGGGGCTGTGGTATGGATGGATCACGTCGGAATCAGAGACTCGGGTTGTCGCCCGAAGACATATCTACAGGGAAAAGGCGATCGACGAAGAGATAAGAAGGTAGCTCGAAAAACAAGCCTTGAATAGAAATCGAAGAAAGAGGGCGGAGCATCAGTGATGCGCCCACCCGGACGTCGAGAGCGCACCAAACACGCCGCTGTGCTGAAAGAGGGAGCGAGAGCCGGCGAGCAGCGCCGACGGCATCAGCGGACCAGACATGGTGCCGTTGGCCAGCTTGCCCGACTCGCCGTCGACGCCGTCCATCTCCTTGAACGCACCACCGGTGCCGAGGTAGTCGGAGCTCGAGCGCATCAGCAATGCCGACGGATTCTCCATGGCCAGACTCGCTCGCGATAAGTGCGAGGCACGCGCCAGGCCCTGCTCCTGCGCTTGCGACCTTTGCGACGCGTGCGTAGCTGCCGCCGGCGCCGATCGGCAGTGCTGCTCTCCTCCCTCGAGCACGGCTAGCGAGGCGGTGCGGTGATGCGACTTGGCCCACATGTCGACGGGCGATGCGGCTCTGGCCTTGTGAGGCGTCTCAGCGTCCAGCGTGATGTCGCCGTCGAGCCGCAACGCGGGGATCGCGTCAAAGTAGCCGAGCGCCTCGTCCAGCACCAGCAACAGACGTTGCGACGACTCGTGGTCACGGTGTTTGCCCCGGCTCGATCGCTTCTCCTCCCACGTCTGCAGACGATGCAGGAAGCCGATCCACGTCTCGTCCGGCACCGTCACCTCGTAGTTGCACTTTTTGAGGAACCACGCCTCGGTCTGGTTGAGCTCGGCGAGCGGAATGCCGGTGACCTCGTTCCAGGTCTTGTTGAGGAACGTGTTGTCGTCCAGGTGCTTGTTGGCGATCATCATGCCAAGTGTAAACAGCTTGAACGGCGCTGCCGACGTAGGCTGCGCAAAGAGGCCGAGCACCACCGGATCGATCGAGCCATCGGGCAGCTGCGCCATGATGAGCAGACGCAGCGCGTTCAGGATGCCGAGCAGGAAGGCTGTAGGCGAGAGCAAGGTCTGCGCCAAGACCTGGTGCACGAACCTGCGGAAGGCAGGACTCGGCTCGTTGGCGTACGAGGTGACGATGCTGGCTACCGAGTCTCGGCCTGGGCGGCCGTGGGACTGGCTGTTGGGCGACCGAGAGCTCGCCGCTTCGGCACTCGCCGCCGACAGCGACTCGCTGAGAGAGACGAAGAGATGGTCGTTGTTGCTCCAGCGCCAGTCGGGCGAGACGAGGCGCAAGACGGCGACGACATTGTCGCGCATTCGGCCGGACCACTTTGAGCAGGGCGCCTTGGTCGAGGCTTTGGACGAGCTTCGGCGCGAGCGAATCGCAGACTCTGAACGCGAACGGTCCAAGGACATGCCGAGTCCCATGTGGAGCGGGCTTCGTGCTGTCTCGACCGAGTGCGCCGAGATGGTGGAGCTCAACGCTGGGCTTTCGAGGACGAGCGACGCGGGCGTGCCAGGCTCGGAGCTGCTGGCGGTGCTTGCGCCCGAGCTGTGCCTGGTGAGGGCATCCGAGTGGCCGGAACCCTGACGCGAGCGTTTTGTGGATGCAGCCTCCTTGGCCAAGGCCGAGCGAGCGCGCTCGGCACCGACGGCCATGCGGTGCAGATCGTCGTGCGACGAAGCGGCATCACTGCCAAAGGTGAACGAGTGTGCTTGCGGGCGCAGCTGCGGCATGCGGTCGGGTCCAAATGGCGAGCGGAAGGCATTCCAGTCGCCCGAAGAAGGCGCTTGCGCCGGACGATCGAGCACGGTCGAGGACCAAGGCGACATATCGGGCGTGTTGAGCGACGGCGTCGAGGACGACGAAGGCATGGATTCTGCTTCGGGCGACATGACCTCTTCGTCATCCTCGTCCATGGCCTCGTCCGAGGTTTCGTGCGCCTCGGCGAGCAGGTCGGGGTCGAAGAGGGCGGTGCAGGCATTCCAGATCAGCTGAGCACCGATGGCTGCGATGGGAAGCGCCGACTTGTCGAGAGAGTCGGGCGACGAGGGCGGAGGACCAGCGGCCGCGTCGGGTGCGCCCTCGGCGGGCACGCCTTCCGGGTCTGCGGCTGCGATCGGCGCCGCCACATCGTGAGTCTGGCGGGTCGGTTCAGGCCATCGACGCTCCTCGCCGTGGCCTCGAGTCTCGTCCGGAGCAAAATGCTGCGATTCCTCACGCATGCTGGGCTGCCAGGCATGGGCATCGCCCGAGCGTGACGCGGCATAAGCATCGCGGGGACGCTCCTCGCGGTCAAACGGCTGCGAAGGATAGAATCGATGACCTGGGCCTTCTAAGCTTGGATAGTCGCGGGTGGAAGCGTCGGATCGGTGGTACGCTTCGTGCGCCACGTTCGATGCATATCGAGCATAGTGCGGAGCGCGATCCCAGCCGTGTGCAGAGGCAGCGCCGTGAGCGTCGTGGTGCGCCGTCCAGGCGTGTTGAGCTCCAAGCGAGGCATCGTCCGAGTTGCGGTGCACGGCAGGACCGTAGGCATGATCGCCGTACGCCTGGCCCGGATGGGGGAGGTGGGGAACAGAGCCTCGGTGCGACGAGGCGGAGTTGTGCCAGTCGGACCAGTCGCGGCCCGCGTAGTCGGAGGCACGGCCATCGCGATGGTAAGCGTCCGAGTTCCAGCTGTCTCTCTGGCGTCGGTCCGCGTAGCGGTCGTGAGCCGCGGAGCCATCCGCACCATGGGCGTGGTGAGGATATCGTTGCTGGTACTGGTTGGAGGGGAGGCGGGAGTGGTGGGGATCGTGTGGATAGTGATGGGAGTGATGGGGATGCGAATACTGGGAAGGATGTTGGTGATGGTGGCCCTGATAGCCATTCTGGGCAAAGGCGGAAGGGTACAGAGGAGCCCCGTTCTGGCGCTCATGCGCTTTGGCCATGTGATGCTGGACCAGCAGCTGGTGCTCGAGCTGTTGGTGAGTGCGTGGCTGCTGAGACGGATGGGGAAGAGCAAGAGCCTGAGCATACCACGCCGTAGCAGCATGAGCAGGAGCGTAGGCAGGGACGGCATAGCCCCACGTGGGTTGCCTTCCAGCGCGTGCGGCAGCGGCGGAGAGTCGCGGAGCCTGAGGCGCTTGCCAGACGCCATGATCCGCATGACCGGGTGGAGCGGAGCCATGAGCGTAGGAGTGGCTGTGGTAGATGTGCGTCTGGCCCGCAGCGTCTACGAAAGGGTAGACGGTGGGGATGTTGGCGGTTGGAACTGGCAGGCTCTGTTGGGGATCGTGATGAGGGTAAAGGCCCATGCCGAAGCCGGCTTCAGGGCCGTGGTGGTACGCGCCCATGACGGGCTGCGCATCGGGGTAAAAGGCCATGGCTGCAGCGAAGGCAGGTGCGCACACCGAGGCTAGAGAACCTGGGTGAGCGCTTTTGATCGGACCGGAGGCGATGCGACGCGGTCCTGTGATCCCAAGGTCGGTACAGGCGGAGGAGCTCGACCGAGATGGGTGTTTGGGCGATTGATCGAACGAGGCGAAAGACGAAGGTGAAGCTGGAAATGATAGATACGGTACGTTGTCGTCTAGCTACCTGGAAAATCGATGGAAGCCGATGGGGCCAAGAAAGGGAAGGGGAGGCTGGTGAGGACCGTGAATAGAGAGCAGCACAATGAAGGCGTCCCTAGGCCCGAGGTGATGACGAGAGGATCACCTAGACGAGAGAGTTGCAGCCATGAAGGAGTCGAGAGGTTGACAGCGTACGAGGGCGAGGGAGGACGAACTGCGGCTCGATGTCGACGTCGATGCGGCCTGGTCTGCGGAAGAGACGAGTGGAGCAGCGACGTTGGCGATGCTGGAGCCAAGTTGAAGCGTGAGAGGCGGTCAAGGCCGGGCCAGACGTTGCGTCACGAACGATGCTCTGGGCTGGACGGGGCGGGGCGGGTGTACCGAGTCTTCGCTAACCGAATGACTGCGGGAAGGACGGCAGAACGCGAGGTCCAAGAGAGAGGGGTCGTTACACGATGGAGAGCCGATCTAAAACGTGCAGCGGCGGTCGAAAAGGCGATTCGCTGCAGTTGATGGAAGGGGCAACCCAAGGCCAGAGATCGATTGACTCGGCACTAAGTTTGGCTGGCGGAACGACGGATGAGGCGCAACAACGAATGTCCGAGGACGAAGCGATGCTGAGTCTTGTCGAAAAGCCGTCTTCTTCCGTACGCACAACACACCCCACGATCGAGGTTATAAAGAACCTCGAGCGAGCCGACGAAGCGGAGGGTGATGCGGGCGAAACGGCGGGTGAGCGCGCTCAAGAGAGGGAGGAGAGTCCCACCAAAGAGGAGCAGCAACCCAACGCGGAAGAGGAACCAAGCGAACGAACGAAAGAAGGAGGGAGAGGAAGAGGAAAGGATGATGGTGACCGGAAGGGAAGCGGGTGGGGTGGCATCGCCATGCCTCGACAGCATACGAGGCTTGGCCTTCGGAGCCGGGTAGAGCTAGAGGTGAGAGCGACTGAGCGGATAGCGTAGCCGCTGACCGCACACTGCAGACAGGCAGGCAGCGGGGGAAAGCGAGTTCACAGTTGGATCAGCGCCACACTGGTGAGCGCAGTCAACTGCACCGCAGCGGTGGCACCGACAGCCGCGTGCTCACAAGAGAGAGTGCAGCCACCTTTTTTTCTCGCTGCACCTCGAATTCGGTGAGGGGCTCCTGAGCAGCGGCAGCTACCGGCAGCAACAGCAGCAGCACCATAAGCGCTGTGGAAACTTTGGTGAGTCAGGCAAAGCGGACCGCAGAGCAGCGCTCCGCTGTAGCAATTTTGCAATTCGACAGAAAGGCCCCTCCTCTCGAGGTTTCGCCGGCCGGGGAGCGAATTTGCGCTGCGGTGCGTCCGATACAAAACCCTTGGAAACCCTTCAAGTTCAAGCGGGCTTGCGGGCGAAAATTCGTAACTACCCATTCGAAGGAGCATTACAAAAGTAGGACTACAAAGTGAAAAGAATCTCTAATCAGACAAGAGCCGCGAAAAACACCGCGGTGGGCGGTCGAATTTCATCAGGGCTTGGAGGCGGCTTGAAAGGGCTATTGGCAGCAAAGTTTTCGGCGGTTCGAAACGAAGAGCCAGCTGCTTCAAACCGTCAGAGGCCATTGTTGCTGCGTGGGATTACGAGGCGCTGACTTGGCCCATCACCGCCTGGCTCATGGTGAAAAGGGGGAGAGCGAAAACGTGGCGCGGTGGGTGAATCCAGGAGGCACCTCGAGATCGTGCGTGTGGCAGCATTCAGACTCAGCCCTCAGCAGCTGGACCGCGCCGAGCTGGAGCGGTGCCCGCTCTCGCGCGGGTTGGCGCGCGCCTGGCTGAGAGGCGGCCTTGGCAACGTCGGAAATCCATGCCGAGGCTAGCTTGGCCATTCGCTTGCCGTGGCCTGCAAGCGCTGGAATGGTTCGCCGAACTCGACTGACGGTGGTGTTGGCAGTCCGACCGGGGCGCCGACGTCCTGTGAATCCAGGAATCAGACGTCGAGCATAAGGCTGGGCTGTCCGGAGCGAGCTGCTCCAAGCGCGACCAAGATGTGCAAAGCATGTGATTGCAGACTGGCGCTGGAGCTGCACAGGCTGCAGTCGCTGCAGGGTGCTGCCGCACGAGACAGCGAGACGACGCGCACGCGACTAAGGGTGCAGTTGGAAATGGCGTAAATGAGACAAAGTCAGGGAGAGAGGGCGGGCGTCGGGCATGTGAGGCCGATGCATCGAGCCTGCTGCCTCCTGACAAGATTCGACTTGGCTCCCTCCCCGCTGCTCGCCAAGCTTGGTCCTCACTCGGACCGATGCTACCGTAGCAGCGAGATTGCCGCAGATTTTTGCTGTAGACTCGACGTGGGGCTGGCTCGGTTAAAGTTCAAGTCGCCAAGGCAGTGCATGGCGCGCAAAAGCGAGGCTACATTGTTCGTTCAAGACGACGACGACGACGACGACGACGGCCATGGGCCCCTCCGGACTTTGAACGGACTGGGAAAGGCTGGGATCGGACGAGCTCCCGGGCGCGGGAAGCGGGTCGCTTTGCGAGGAAGAGCCGAACGAGGGGCAGGCCCGGGACGTCATGTAGCCCGGCTTAGTGGGCAAACTAGGCAGCTGCCTCGAACGCTGTGCAACTTTCCAGTCCCTCCTCCAATCACTCGACACTTTACCGCAGCACGAGGTGGGAGGCCTCGGACCGATACCACGCGAGAGTGCCATCGGTGCGGCTCATTGGTGCAATGGCGAAGCCGAGATTTGCGGTGTTGGAGCATGCGAGACCAGTCAAGTTTTCAGGGCGCTTTTCGCTCCAACCGAAAGAGGTCGGAAGGAGCTCCCCGAATCGGGCACAGCCCAGGCCCAGCAGGCTCAAGATAGTAGCGGTGAGCCGTGGGGGATCCCGGTGCTAATTTTGTCCGAATTCTTGATTTTTTTGGGAAAAAAAGGCGAGGTAGCTATGATATCACTGCTGCAGCAAGGCGAGACCGGATCGACGGGCGTGCCAGATTTCGTAGAAAAGAAAAAAAGGAAAGAAACAAATGGCCAATTGCGGATCGGAGGTGGAGAGCGGCGCGCGCGCAGTGACCCTGAATTTGGGGCGTGACAGTGGATTCCTGCGCAGCGGCGCAAAGTGAACCTGCATTCAAGTGCCTGTCGCTCTGCCGATCCTGGCTTTTTTTTTTT